CCAAGAGCACGTGCGCAGCCTGCATGCGGGAGCACAAGCCACTATGGCCGCTGTCAGACAGCGTTTTTGGCCACTTTCCCTTCGTTCCGCCGTACGAAAAATTGTTAGAAATTGTGTGATATGCTTCAAGGCCAGACCGATTCAGTCGGAGGCTTTAATGGGCTCGTTGCCGAGCAGCCGCGTCACCGTATCAAGGCCATTCTCGCAGTGCGGCGTGGATTACGCCGGCCCGATCATTTTAAGGGAAGGAAAACGACGCAACGCCCGCAACCACAAGGCGTACATTTCGATTTTCGTATGTTTCGCAACGAAAGGTGTTCACATCGAATTGGTGAGCGATTTAACCTCCGAGAGTTTCGTGGCGGCGTTGCGGCGTTTAATTTCCCGAAGAGGCAAGCCCTCTTGTATATATTCCGACAATGGCACCGCCTTCGTCGGGGCCTACAAGCAGCTTAAGGAATTTTATGAATTCCTGAGCGATACTCAAACGCAGAGCGATGTACAGCAATTCCTTCGCGAACAACAAACGACGTGGAATTTTATTCCCCCGAACGCGCCGCATTTTGGCGGCCTATGGGAAGCCGCTGTAAAGTCAGCCAAGTACCACATGTCGCGAATCATCGGTAAGGCCCATTTGACCTTCGAAGAAATGTCGACAGTGCTGTGCGAGGTGGAGGCGATTCTCAATTCCCGGCCACTCACGCAGCTGAGCTCTGATTCAAACGACTTGGCATATCTTAGTCCAGGGCATTTTCTAATCGGTGCCCCGCTCAACAGCATTCCTTGCCACAATGTGCAGGACATAAATGAAAACCGGCTAACGCGCTGGCAGAGAGTGGAGCAAATACGCCAGCATTTTTGGCAAAGATGGAGTAATGAATATCTCCACTCCCTGCAGGAGCGAACCAAATGGAGACTCAATAAGGGCATGCAGTTGAAACCGAACCAACTGGTGCTCATTCGACAACAAGGCTTGGCTCCTTTACAGTGGCTCCTAGGTAGAGTGCAGGAAGTGCACACCGGTTCCGATGGCGTCACGCGCGCCGCTACCGTCCGTACGGCCAAGGGGTCATTAACAAGACTCTTGTCCAAACTAGCGATATTACCGATAGACGTAGATATAGATTAAGTTCATGCTACCGTTAACAAAGGTTCCTGTGATAGAATCAAAAATTATTTTCGGTTTGGGTTCATACCCTTGTTGTTGTTAATAGCTGCGAGCGTCTTCCAATTTTGATTCAAGATCGTTTATGTTATTCTAATGCGCTAGTTTCTTATAAGTTAGTTAAGTCCGAACATTGTTTTGCGAAAATCTTTTATGTTTGTCCTACGCGTTGGTCTCGGATAAGCTATTTAGGGCTGAACATTGTTATGCGACAGTCATTTCGAATTTTGAAAGTGCGTCCTTTCAAGGGGGGCGGCGTTGTATCGTAACTTTGTTTCCCGCGTCATTTATATTTCCCGCGCGCGATTCTTCCCGGGATCTCCCGAGCGCTATCAGAGAAAGCGTCTCCGCCAATCGTATCGTTTCCCTCGCGTACCGCGTGGCAAGCCATCGGCGAATGAGTTCGTTGCCCTACCACCGCGACAGCAGCGTATGTTAGTCAGTCACTCGTTACCAGTCGACCAAGTCGTCACAAGTCGTTACAAACGAGTACGAGTGTGTGTGCGTGTGTTCCTGCGTGCGAGCGGATCGAGCGTATCTTCTGTGTTATCGCCACGATATCTCAATAAAATTATTATTAAAACTAAAACACGAGTAAGTCAATCGCCTTACTCGACCACGCCCGATCTCTGAGACGAGACCAGAGATTACCTGCGTGGAGGCCACAAGGCCTATCAGAAACAGCGCCAATGATCAGTACAATTTCCTCCAATTATTTGTACGCTCTTGTTGACACTGGCTGTAATGAGGTCTGGATATTCTATAGGGGAACCCGGGGCATAACGGGAACGCTAAGGTTAAAATTAATTTTAAGCAAAATGAAAATACATAAATGAATTATTTTTTTACGAAAATATTCTTTGAAATGTCTACTATAAGAAAAAAAATGGTTTTACTGTGAAAGAATAGTTTAAAAGAACGAAATTTTTATTTTATTGAGACCATGACTAAATCTGATTATCATTTTATGCGGGGCATAATGGGACTCCTAACGAAACTTATATATTTCTTATACATTAATGTTTAAAACTTATTAAAAATGATTTTTTAAATACGCAATAAATATACTAATGTAGTATTGGATTTTAATAATAATTATTATTTATTCATAGCACTTATTATCAAATAAAAAACATTTTAAGAGCAGTAGGTGCAAAAATATATAATATCCTCCTTGTCATCGACTCCAGCACATGAATTGTGATCCCAATTTAAACAGGAAGAACATCTTATCCATCCTTCATTTGACGTTGAATACAATTCATTACAATAAAGGCACTGAGTATCATTTTCTTTCGAAGATGTATCACAAGATTTATCCTTTTTATATGTTCGTCTTTTCTGTCCATATTTGTTTGTTTTTAATGTTTTCTTCTGCATGTTTTTCTTCTCTGCATTAGGTGCTAAAATTTTAAATTAAATTGTTTTGTAAAAAACTTTTAATTTATCTTTTTAATTTAATTTAATTTTTTTCTTTATTTTACTTGATTTTTTAGCAGCTTCCAGCAAAGCCTTGTATGGCGATGAAGTTAAAATTGCAGTTTTTCCTATATTGCGGCTTTTACGTCTTTTATTTTGAGTAACTTTTGGCAATGGCTGAAGAATTTCTGGCGAGCATGCAATAAACGTAGAAACATTACAATTTCTGGATGTTCCTGGTTGATTACAATCTCTAGAGGTTCCTAGTTGATTATAATCTCTAGAGGTTCCTGGTTGATTATAACTGTGGCGGTCGCAACACGCGATCCGGCACAAATTGGCAATCCGGCACTGCGCGACACGCGCGCGGGCGCGCGAGCGCCAGCTTCTGAGTAGGTCGCCGACCGCCGCTAGGCTGCGCATGGTGGCGGCCACAAACTCGGAAGCAAAATTCAGTCTCGTAGGGTATAAAAGGAGGCCCGCGTGGAAGCCAGGGCAAGTATTCCAGTGGGGTAATCTGTCGCGGGACGATTCCTTGACTGGAAGAATCCTCGATAACGAATAAGCTGTCGTTCCTAACGACGGTTCCAGACATCGCCGTCGTTTCTCACGACGGGAGCAGAGAGACTTCAAAATCGCCGTCGTTCCTCATGACGGCGCGCCCGTTGCCCGCGGTTTAGACAATCCAAAAATACATTTTCAAAAATATTGTCTCTACAAAAATCTTCTCTACAAAAGTATCTTCTCTACAAAAGTAATGATATCATCAACAAATTACGCCAAATATAACAATGGATATTTATATATGTATAACGTGTATCTTTCTTTTACCGTAACCATTCTGTAAATACATCTCATTCGGCCAATAACATATCGACTGCACCGATGAAAAGAATAGCAACTGTTTAGAAATTTAGAAACTCTGTATCTATTCAGGCGAATTAAGGCTTGTGTCCATGATGCTAGTACTTGGTCCAAGTTCTAGTTTTGAGAAATGCGTAGCCAATCAACTTGCAGCTTTTGTGGAACAGCTATATTGATTTTGGCTTTCAGGCTTTCGCGGCTGTTGTCTTCTTTAGTCTTCATGGCTTCCGGATGGTTGCCGCGTCCGTTTGCAGTGTGGTGCCGACGTTTCGCAGGCGTTGCAGTCTGCTT